GCCTTCCCATAAACTACTGTTGGTGGCTTACAATGTTAAAATTAATAAAATAACACCACACCAAACACATACACAAATGCTCACGTGAAACAGAAAAAATGCAAAACAAACAAAATGATGCAGAAACCTAAAACATCTCAGAGTTAACACTTGTGATGATCTTATTCAGAAATTCGTTTTCATAGCTCATCTAGAGCAGAGAATGTACAACAGACACATTCAGAGGCAGGCTATGCGTTACAATTGCCCCAGGGATCAATCTGCCCTTTGCTCCTTTCCATCTGAATATAAATCCTGACCAGAATTGGAGTTCTCCTGCCATATTGGGTGCCCTTTCAGTGGTTCCACTGCCCTTGGAAATACAGAAGATGGCGACCTGGAAGAGGGCCTTCTTTGTGGCAGCTCCCCGAACTCCCACCCCATAGAGGTGCATCAAGCATCCTCATTATCACTGGTGGCTGGTCCCCATTGGCTGGTCCTCCCAATAGTCATTCCTCCTCTGGTCACTGCTATGGATGCACAACCTAACTATCTGTCTCCAGGCACTGTGGTCATCTATAACAGCCCTTTAGATATTTGAAGGTGACTATCATATCTCCTCTCCTCCCGGTCTCTTCTTCTCCAGGCTAAACATACCCAACTGCCTCAACTGTTCCTCATAAGGCTTGGTTTCCAGACCCCTGATCATCTTGGTCACCCTCCTCTGTCGTCTTGGGCTAGACAATGCAATCCTCAACCATTTATCTGCATAGGAATTTTCCCACTCACCTCAGTGGAGCTGGTGATGGACATTCCAATTGTGTTGATAGAATTGATCGGAATCTGATCTGAATGTATCCAAGACTTCCACTTGCATGTTAACAATGTGCATTTAAAAAAGAAAAGCTAACTACAAAGTGCTAGAAATCAAATCCTCACCATTAATTTTTCACTGTTGTCATAAATAATAGCACTCTGGGGTTTTATGTATGTATTTTTTTTAATCCCATTTATTAGCAAAAGTCTTTTTGGCTTTAACATTGACGGTAGAAATATTGAGAAATGAAGGCTCATGAGTTATTCATGAGATTAGAATTAATTCAGCCACTATTTCTGGCTTCTGATTAAATGCTGGTGTGTAACCTAGTAACATGGGAAATAATGACCGGATGATAACACTGTGAGAACCAAGTCAATGAAGAGAGGCTTTAATATGTCATATTGCAATATCATTTGCCCTCAAGTAATGGATCTAGATAACTCCAGCCCACATTAACGGGAAAGAATGAAGGCTGTGATCCCAAGCTCACTTACTGGGAAGCTAGTTTGATTCAAATAAATGGGACTTAATCCCAAGTAAATGGGTCTGGGTTCAGGATGTCAAACAGGTTTTTCAATATCGCTCCCAGTGTTTGAGCAGGAGTGTGTTTGCCCTGCCCAACTTGGGAAGATGGACTCTCTCAAGACATGCTCTTGTGAGACCAGCAATGCCACATTTTGTGGGGATGTTGAGCTTTATAAACCATCCCCACTCCCACCCAAAACGCTTGACACACTGACACAGCACCCAACTCTCCTATCCCAATATATCAGTATGGGATTAGCCAGTTGCCCTCTGGAAGCTGAGTTGGATATTTTGGGGTGTTCTTCAATTGCCACATGAGCTCCTTTTCTGGCCTACACAGCATTGCAAATCTAGTGGGGTTGGAGGTAGACGAGATGGATTGGATATTGTATTCATTGTCACAATGCAAAGTGGTACAGGCAGGGAGAGAGATTAGTTTGTCAAAGGCACTGGATGCAGTGAAGGAAAGTTCATCTAATTGGCCCCTCATTGTCAGCTAGCTCAAGTAGGGGTGTAAAAAAGCATCCTTTCCCATTCCACCCAGAATTTCTCACACACATCACTGTTTCCATTCCACTGCAGCGCACATTCTGCTGAAAACTGCAATTTGCCTTGCTGTCCACTGTGGTGAAATAACAGAACCCATGCAACTGAATTAATTACATACATTACATTGTCATTACAGTGGTACCTCTAGTTGCAGACACGATCCGTTCCGGGGTGCTGTTCGCACCCTGAAAAGTCCGCAATTAGAGTGGCACTTCTGCACAAGCGCAGAGCGCAATAAAGCGCTTCTACGCATGTGTGAAGAGCGCAGACCACTTCTGCGCATGCGCAGCGAAACCTGGAAGTATACACTTCCGGTTTTGCCGCGTTCACAAGCTGAAAAGATGCAACATGAACCTAGCGCAACACGAGGTATGACTGTAATTCACTTTGCTCCATTCATTTCAATGCAAAGGAAACACAATGCAAATAGGTGGGTGGGGAACGTAATGAATTACAGTCATACGCAATGAATTACAGTCATACCTCGTGTTGCATTAGGTTGATGTTGCGTCTTTTCAGCTTGCTTCGCACATGTGCAGAAGCACACTATCACGCTTCGCACTTGCACAGAAGCACCGCTCTAGTTGCGGACTTTTCGGGGTGCGAACGGCACCCCGGAACGGATCGTGTCCACAACTAGAGGTACCACTGTACATATTGTTTGCAGATTGAAAGCATCAACAGTGAATACCAATCGTATTTGCTGAATTTATTTCCCTGCTAGACATAGGAACAAATAATTGAGTCATGGCAATTTCTGTTTCCATTTTCACTGGAAGTCTCCAATATCCCTAGGCTCAAGGGATGGGGTGTTTGGAAAGGCACCTTGAGATTCCTAATGCTGGAGAGTAGGTAAGGGGGATGCACCTCTCCAATGCCACTCACAATTTGAATTAAATGTGAGAGTCTGAAGAAAGGTACACAGCCAGAGCTGGAGTGGTATCACTTAGCTTCAACAGTGGGAGCTTTGGCCAGCCTTTGCACTGAGTTATATGATGCCTTTGTGGTTTGTTGAATTTGTTACACATCCTTGATATTAATAAAGTAGGGGCCGTTAACTCTGATCTTCTCTCTATTTTTCTCCATGTTACTTTTATTAAAATTTTTCAACATATACAGTCATACCTTGGTTCTCAAACAGAATGGATTCCAGGAGTCCATATGACTCCCAAAACCATTTGAAAACCAAGGCCGATTGGTTGCAGGAGCATTGAATTGTGTCCAGTCTGAAGCTGAGTGTGACCCACACATGCCATTAATAATCAAAATATGTAGAAATGAAAAATAAACTGGAAGTGTACACCCTGAGTTACATTTAAGGGCCACCACAAATAATATTCTCTCTTTTTTTTTAAATTTTCTGTTTTACATTTTAGAATATTCATTTAAACAACCTTAAACTACCAATGACTTCCCTTCTTCTCTTTCCATGATTCATTCTGCATAACATAAATCCCTGCATATTTTATATAAACTAAACCATTCAGTGTTCCATTATTACATCCATCAAAACTTATTTACACTGTTGAATTTATCTTAATGCTGCCCACGTTTCAATGAGATAGTATTCTCAAAGCCGGCTCAAAGCTGTTCTGGGGTGCCAGACACTGTCAGGTTTGTGAACACTTGCCAATAATAGTCAAAATATATAATAACTGATTGATTGTGTTTTGGTTGGCTGGTTGCTTAGAACCCTGAATTTGAGAACTCCATGCTGTATCTGTTTGGCCATTGCTGAGAAATGATGCTGTGGGGGGGGGGGGAGGCCTTTTCTCTGACTCAGCAAGGCCCTTCCTTTGTTATGAAGATTTTGCTGCATCTATCCCATGTATGTGGCTGTGATGTAATGTGAGTAACATGTAGCCAGGCTCAGAATCTTTCTGGCATGAGAATATCATGCACATGGACCCAGACCCAGGCAGAGCTTGTCTGAGGCCCAGCACAGGGTTCCCCAATCAGCTGGGAGGGAAGGTGTGGTCCTGGTATGACAGAGTAAGTCCAGCCGGATCCTGGGTGGGCCTCCTGGCTGGCTTAGCCTTCTGAGGCCTGGGGCAAGTGTACCCCATCTGCACGGACCTGCATAGATCCACAAATCCAGTGCCAGATTCTGTATACAAATTTGATAGCATCCCTAACCTGGGACATTTATTTGCATGTGAAAGGCAAAACTGTTGGATTCAGATGCATGTGACAAACAGAAAGAGGACTTTTCTTCTTCTTCTTCTTCCGGGAAACCCACAGTAATATCTGATGGGAGCAGAGCAAGCAATGAAAGCGATTATTTTGGTTCACAAATTCCTAGCTTCAAAGAGCACTGAAGTGGAGTCATTGAAGCAGAGTGAAAGCTAAAAGACAAGGAACTAGACAACAATCATTCAGTTAATACATCAAGGCTTGCAATCCAACAGGCGCTTTAGTCCAGAGGCATCTGAGAGAATCCCCCTTTTCTGGCCGTGACAGGAGTCCAGGATCACTCTGAATAAGGTGACACACACACTGCTAATGACATTCCTCTTTAATCACCTCTTCTGCCTGCTGCCTTTGTGTAGGTGTAATGTTGTTCGCGCAAGGTAAAAAGCACAAGAGAGGCACTTGAAAATCAAATGTCCATTCAAGGCAATGTCACTGCATTGTAGATGCGGAGAAAGCAAAATACGTTTGCCACGCAATGCCGCGAATGGAAACTCACATGGAGGGAGGGAGGGAGGGAGATGTGAAAGATCTGAGGCAGACGTGTTCTTTGGTTAGGGGTGGGGGAGCAATTCTACTGAGTTCACAATTAAAGGTGAACCTACCTAATTTGCATTTTTCTGGGGTGGAGGGGAATACACGGGCTGAAACACAGATAACATTTGTAATTTACACTAGTCCAAATTTTGTGGCTGAACAATACAACAAGAACAGCAACAATGTTATCAGTGGTACTCTGCCCACCTGACTGCATTGGCCGCATGCCACAGAAATGTACAGAAATGCATATATTTGGGGGGAAATTGCATGAAAACACAAGACTTACAGAGGAATTTTGAGTACTTTGTACCTACTAGCCCATTTACAGCAGGGTAGTTGCATGTGAGAGGGCCTCCCACCCCATATAGTGGAATATGCTCTGTTAGAAGGGCATGTAGCCTTGCTCAGTGGTTAGAGCATGAGATTCTTAATCTCAGGTTCATGGGTTCTAGCCCCACGTTGGGCCAAAAATTCCTATATTGGACTAGATGACCCTTGTGGTCCCTCCCAACTCTACAATTCTGATATTCTCTAGGGTCTACTTTTCATCCAGGTCTTGGGTGGCCGAGGAAGAAAGTGGAATGAATTTCCCTCTTCTGAAGTGCTATTGTTACTTTGTTGTTTTAAAATTGTGTTTTTAGAGGGTGCTTTTTATTTTGGAATCTCTTTGCTTGCTTGTTTGTTTGAGCCCCCTCCCAAAGGAGCCCTGAGTGGCAAGCAGCAAGTGATAAAACAATAACAACGCCTTGAAAACATCTTTAAATGCTTAAATTGAATGATGTCTTAATTGCGGTTTTGATGTTGTGTGTATCCCACCGTGGGGCCATATGGCGAAGGGTGAATTATTCATAGAAGAAAGCAAACATACATGCATGCAACTTGCCTGAGATGGGTGTGTGGAGACGGATCCTGCCCCTCGATGCATCTCTGCCTTTCCATCCACATGCACACATCACCCCTGGTTTGGTCTCACAAACAGTGCTGTGGTGCCCCCTTTTGAAGAGGATCCCACGTTTTCGAAACTCTGTCCTACTGACTCCATCAAGACAACTTCTGCAGAACTACTGATAAGGCTTCTCTGGATGTAGACAATGGCCTACGAACCTAATCAGATGAATAATGAGAAGCTAAAAGGAAATGTAAACAGGGGAGGAGGCTGTCCACTAAACGTTGGAGTCATCCTTATGCTGGGAGAATTCCGTCCCCCTCCCGGGGGGGGGGCATATTTGCCATACCCTCCTCCCCTGGAAGAAGAGGAGAGATAGTCTCTTCCATAGAGGTGGGTAGCGAACACCATGTGGGGTGTTTGGCCCTATAAGAGAGAGAAGAGATCAGGCTATTTAAGCCTGTTCCACCCTGCACTTTCACTCTTGCCTTTTTGGACACCCCGCCTCCCGTACCTGTATGGGTTTTGCTAGTTGCTCTTTTTTTTTTTTTTTTTTTGAGACTGAATGGGATCTCGAGGTGTTGGTGTTGGAAACTAATTGGCTGGTGTCTCCTCTGCTTCACCTACTTCACACTGGGAGGTGTTTCCTAAGGAACTGGAGAGGAATTTAAGAATGTAGCAGCTCAGGCACAGGCAAACTCGGCCCTCCAGATGTTTTGGGACTACAACTCCCATCATCCCTAGTGGTCAGGGATGATGGGAATTGTAATCTCAAAACATCTGGACGGCCGAGGTTGCCTATGCCTGATGTAGCTTATTGGCATTTGGTTCAGAAGAGTGTGCAGATTTAAGAAAACATTGGCTCAATATCTGAGCCAGTTTGGGGGTTTGGCATTGGGGTCAACGTTGGCCAACGGGAACATAGTGTGCATGTGAGGTCATGCACCCAAGGTGCACGCAGCCTAGGGTGGGGTGAGGAGTTTGTCAAACCTTGCTGTGTGACCACAGCAGGGCCGCCTTGTGACATTTTGACATCTGAGGTGGACCTCCAAATGGCACCTCCCTTCCCACCAGGGAAGAAGATTTGAGGGAGGATCTACATCAGGAACAAGGGGGGGGGGAGAAAGATTGACATTGGGACCTGCTGCCCCAGTGGAACCTGCCACCTGAGGCAGTTGTCTCACCTTGCCTTTTGGTGGGGCTGGACCTGGCTTGAAGCTGGCTCAGGAAATGGGAATGATTAGATCACCCCAGTTATTGCAATTCAACCTGCCCAGACTTGTTTGATTGGGCTATTTGTTCTGGTTACATTAACTGGCAGCTCCTCCAGTTGTTATCTTTTAATAAATATAACCTGTTTACCCACATTTCTGTCATCTCGGGCCTCCTCCTGGTGCGATGGCAAAGTGTGAGGTTTAAAATCATCCTAGTCCCTCAAGGCTGCTATTAAATACCTATATATTGAAAATGAGCGATCTGGAGAGAGACACGGGTAAGAAGGCAATACAGAACAGAGGGGGTAAGCCTAATTTTAATTAACAGGAAAGCTGCAAGATAAAGCACAGAGCTTGGAGTTATAGGCTAGGGTAGTTGCATATGACTTAGCCTGTTCCAATTAAACCCAGCAAAACATCAAGGGGAAGCAGAAATGCAGCTGAAATAGATATCTGATGCATTCTTGAGTCTCAGGCTGTGTGCGCATCACTGGCTTAAAATGCAGTTGGGTCGTTCTTCTTCTCAATTCGGATCGAAGCTGGTTGGAAAGGAAGTGCATCAAAACGCAGCATTTCCTAAGAAACAACAGGGTAGATATGGATTGTGGCTAAATACTGTGCAAGTACAACTTCCCAATCAGACGCGGGTGGCGCTGTGGGTTAAACCACAGAGCCTAGGACTTGCTGATCAGAAGGTCGGTGGTTCAAATCCCCGCAACGGGGTGAGCTCCTGTTCCTTGGTCCCTGCTCCTGCCAACCTAGCAGTTCGAAAGCACGTCAAAGTGCAAGTAGATAAATAGGTACCACTCCGGCGGGAAGGTAAGCGGCATTTCCGTGCGCTGCTCTGGTTCGCCAGAAGCGGCTTAGTCATGCTGGCCACATGACCCGGAAGCTGTATGCCGGCTCCCTCGGCCAATAAAGCGAGATGAGCGCCGCAACCCCAGAGTCGGCCACGACTGGACTTAGTGGTCAGGGGTCCCTTTACCTTTACAACTTCCCAAACCAGCGGCGGGAGTGCGTTGGGTGCAGATTAAACAGGAATAACGTGTACAAAGCATCTGCCCTATGGTACTATGAAGGAGTCTCCAGGCTTGAGTGAGAATCCTGCCTTTTCCAAGGGAACAAACACCGGGCCTTAGGGAGGATTATGTTTCAGTTAAATATAGAAAAGAGACAGAAAGAGAGAGGAGTCAGATTTGCCGAGGAGCTGGTAGAATTAATTTTCACTCGAGTTCAATTAAAATCTGATGAATCCAGGGGGCTAGGGAAAGGATAAGTAAAGGTAAAGAGGAGGGGAGTTAGATAAGGAGGGTTGTCACAAAACAATGGCACTTTAAGCTGCCATCCAGATGGATTTGCTGCCTGTGTTATTTTCTCTCTCCCTCCAATTACGGATATTGTGATAGAAAAATTCAGGCGCAGGCTGGCGGCATCTCTGGCTTAAAAAGGATCCTCCTATCCCTCTCCTCCCTTCCCCAGCTGCCAGCTTTGGCTCAAGCAGGGAAAATGGGAGAGGGTGGATGGGATGGAAATGTATACCTGGGGTGCTTGTAGACAGCGGCAGATATTGTTAGGAGCCAGGAAAAGAGATAGGAAAGAAGGAGCCTTGAAAACAGATGCTCTCTCAGGCAAAACAATGTGCTTTAGGTTGTTTTTTATTTTTAAGGGGAGTACTATTAAAAAACCCAATTAGCACTGATCTGGCTGGGCTTTTGGCTCTTACTGATGTTTCTGCTGCTTTTTTAATTTTTTTAAGAACACCATGAATTCAGTAGGAAAATAAGGAGAAACTAAGGCACAGAGCAACATTTGGCAGACACCATCCAGACAGCTGGATAGAAGCATAGTCTTACACAAAGTCAGAACATTAGTCCATCCACCTCAGTATTAACTTGCAGTAACACTCCAGGGTTTAAGGTTGGACTCCTTCCCATCCCTACCTGGAGATGCCAGGTATTGAATATGGGACCTTTTGCATGTTCTTCCACTGAGGGAGCTTCCAGGTGGCCTGTTTATTACACATCCATCCTGATTTGTTTGCAGGGAGATTAGACGACACTGGCTATTTTGTGAGCAATCATTCTGATTTATTGACTTTTGGTGGGGAGGCTAGAGGATGTTGCATCAAAGCAAGTGGTGCCCCACACTTTCTATAAGAACATTGTCGCCAAAATCCAGCATCACCTGAGCTCTGTGAGTGCAGCTTTCTCCTGATTGAAGTGCAGAGTGTTTGAGGACTGGGACATTTGCAGAGAAACCAAAATGTTTGTTTACAAAGCTATTGTGCCACCAACCTTACTGTATGCTTGTGAAGCATGGACCACTTATAAATGCCATCTCCAACTCCATGAAAGAGTCCATCAACGGTGTCTCTGAAAAACCTTACACATTACTTGGGAAGACATGTGAACTAATGCCAGTGTACTGGAAGAAGCAAAGATCACCAGTGCCAAAGCAATGATTCTTCAACATAAATTTTGCTGGACTGGTCATGTTGTTTGGGTGCCTGGTTATCATCTTCCAAAGCAACTATTCTGAACTTAAAAATGGAAAGCGCAATGCTAGTGGTCGACAAAAGAGGTTTAAACACTTTATCAAGGCAAATCTTAAAAAATGTAGTATAAACACTGACAACTGGGAAGCACTGGTTTGTGAGTGCTCCAATTGGAGAACAGCCTTCACCAAAGGTGTCATAAACTCTGAAGACGCTTGAATTCAGGACGAAAGGGAGAAATGTGCTAAGAGGAAGGCATGTTTGGCAAACCCTCACCGTGATCAACTTCCGCCCAGAAACCTATGTCTCCACTATGAAAGGATACAGTATGTGGATCCAGAATTGGACTCCACAGTCACTTACAGACCCATTGATAAGACCGTGTTCATGGAAGACAATCTTACTCGGCTATGAGTGATCCCCAAAGAAGAAGAAGAAAGAAGATAAGAATATAAAAATGTACAACTATCTTTTTGATCCAGTCAATTGCCTATCTAGAAAAGCATCCTGTTGTCACTATGGGAGGCCTGCAAGCATGACCAGAGCAGAGGAGTCCTCTCCTCTCCTAAGGTCTCCAGCAATGGTATTCAGAAGCATTACTGTCTCCAACCATGGAGGCAGAGCATAACAACTGTGGTTATCCATTGTCCTCCACGAATGTGCCCAATCTCTTTTTAAAGCCATTCCTTCCAGGGCATTGTCCTATCACTTTACTTACTGCAAACAGCCCAGCCTTTGGAGGAAGTGGATTTGTGACACAATAGTGCCTGCAAACCCATAATTGTGCATCCTAAATTTTTCACTATATAACTGAATTTCTTCTTAAATTCCTTCCCGGATTTTTGTTCTGCTGAAAATCGGTGAGCCATTTTTACCCGAGGTGCCTGTGGACTTTGAATCCGTGTGATTAAAAGCAGATCAAGAAAAGTAGCTGCAGGGCTCTCCATTTCTCCTAGACCATTCCTGTTCAAAGCAGTGGAACATCTTCTTAGAGCAGGTGGCTAAGAGGGATTACAGTCAGCTGAATGCTCTGTTCTGGTGCAAAGCAACTGTCACTATTTGGGGATGGGATTCGGTCACATACCAGCAAATTCAAGTTGCACATTTAATGCTGATTTGGAGCGTTTGTGCAATGAACCTGCTCCTCCCATCCGCCTCCCCAAAACCAGATTTTATTTTATTTTATTTTGCAAATAGGTGTGGGATAACATTTGCTTCATGCAAACCAGTTGGAATGAATGCTAAATAAACATGTCATCTGGAAGTCATCAAGGAGCAAATTTAAAGAGAGCCTTATTTTCCTATCCTGTCATAGAAGACTACTGGAAAGTTGCATTCCCTGCCTTGTGGAAACTTAGAGTTGGGAGACATACTGAGGATCATGCAGTTCAACCTCCTGCAATGCATACATATGCAGCTGTCCCATACGGAGATCGAACCTGCATCCTTGTCCTTGTCAGCACCACGCTCTAACCAACTGAGCTATCCAGGCTGGGTCCAAGCAAGTTGCTCTTTTTTCCCCTCTTGAAGGCAACACTAGCCAAGGCAGGTGTGCTTAAGCCAACGGATTCCAGCAGGTTTAATGGCACTGCCCCACAGCCCCTGGTCTGAGCAGAAATCTATGGGTTTGGGCACACCAGAGTCTACATAAGATCAAACCCTGTCTTTGTGACTTAAGCATGCTTACCATAAGAGGCAGGGGGCGTGTTTTGGTTCTACTGTTCATCTAGGAAAAAAAGGACAAAAATATCAGTTAAATGATGAGCATATAATCGGCAAATTACACAAATTTCCATTCAAAATTCAGACTCAGCAGCTGGAATCCCATTCACACCAAGTTTTGATGAAGCCCCATTGAGTCCAGCGGGATTTGTTTCCAAGTAAACACCCATGGTCTGCAAAGTTGCAATCCGGTGTGCATTTACTCAGAAGTCAACCACACTGAAAGGGATTTACACCTGAGTAGACATCTATGTGGGGCTGTGCTGCCAGAAGCTGAAAGGGATTTACACCTGAGTAGACATCTGTGTGGAGCTGTGCTGCCAGAAGGCTGCAGCCCGTCCCGTGTACCCTTATTCATGAAGAAGCAGAGTAGTCATCCCTGGAAGTGGGCTGCAAAAAAATGATGATGATCATCATAAAAGGCTTCGACCCTGTGCTCACTTACTCGGGAGCAAACCCGCATCGAACTCAATGGGGTTTGCTTTTGCGTAGGTGTGGATGGGTTCATCAGCTGGATTCAATTCAGCAGACTTTTTTATGCGTGGTGTGTGCGCGCGTTTGTGCGTTTTAACTGGCCTCCCGGCAGCAAAGGGGTGCTTTAAGCCTGGGGACATACTAAACGAACCTTTTCGTCAAGATGCAGCGAGGCGCTCTGTGTGTGCGAGACACAGGCGCGCGCTCTCTCGCACGCGCATACACACAAATACACTCCTCGCAGACTGAGAGGAAGGCAAAGAGGCGCGCACAGCCACTCAGAGGCGGCGAGCGAGAGGGACCCGGGAAGGCATTGGCGGAGAAATCGCAGTCGGGAGAGCATCACCAACCAGAGGTGGTCTTTCCACCTATTTCCCAATATCATCCAAATCTGAAAAAAGGCGAGAAAAGAGCACTGGAGAGGCGGCGAGGAGAAAGAGAGAGGAAGCGAGCGAGCGGGAGAGCATCGCTGCCAGGCTATCTAGATCGCCGAGCCCTCAAAGTGCTGGGGAAATCACTCGGCTTGTGGAGAAGGGATGCTATGATTTTTATTTTTTTTTATTTTTTACCTGGGTTTCGCAGCCGTGAGATCTCCAGATCTGATCCTCGTCTCTCTCTCGTTTTCTCTTTTTGAGGGGGAGGAAAGGAAAGAATAAAGATCTTTCAAAGAAACTCCTGGCACCAAAGACCTTAAGGGACTGAGAAGACCAGCTCTGGCCAAAAGAGGCTGGACATCCCCAAACTGAAGAGCAGGCGAAAGGAGAGAGGCAGAAGAGGCAGTGTGAGAACTGGGGTAAGTGTCAACCTCCCTCCCTCCCTCCTCTCCACATCCATCCATCCCTTCGTGATTTCTCTCTGGCTGTAGTAGTTTATGAATGGCCTCTGGGCTGATTTTGGGCTGTTCTGAAGGGGAGGGTTTATTTTCTGGGTTCGCGTCTTGCTGTCACTCCCCTTCCTCTTGCCCATTCTTAAGCTAATGGGTCGGTTTTGCCCATCGGGTGGTCTTGGCTGAGAAGAAGGATTTGCTTCTTTTTGGACAAAGTTCAGGCTGGAAGGAGAGCGGCTGGCTGGCATTGCAGCTGAAATATTCCCAGGACTGAACGGTGAAAAGAGAGGCAGCAGGAGAATGTGAGGAAAGGGCTCCTTTTGCTGACTGCACTTTGCTGCCTTACAAAACAAGGAGGCATGTCTAAAGTTCCCGGGCTTTGGAGATTTCCTGGCACCGAGGTTGGCAAAAAAATCCCCCCCACAGATAAAATGCATCAGAAAGCCAAACGTTTCAGTGGCTCTGGCAGGAAGCAATGTGTGTCACTGCGACTTGTGTAGAAGTTCAGGCTGGGGTTTGGCTTGGCAGTCTCCTGAGTCAGTGAAGGAGAGAGTTAAAAGGTGATCCAAAAAAGATCGACATTTTTTTGGGGGGGGGAGGGCAGAGTGAGGCAGAGCTGGAATTATCTAAAAATGCACAGATTCTATTCTGCGAGGCAGTGGCTAAGAGGATGAGGGTGGACTGTTCACAGTTGGCTGAAAGAAGAGTTGAGATTGTGTTTTTTAATGGTGTTACAGCTAAATATAGTAAGTCTCACCCTTATCTGTGGAGAAATCAACATGGGCTTGTTTTGGCCAGTGCTGTCTATTCAAATCATAATCCGCTTCTTCTCCTTGAGCATAGAACTTGTGCAGTTGCCGACATCATCTGTATTATATTTTAAAATGACACATAATGTGTGATTGTCACTTCAAAGTTTTCTCACTTGGGTAAACTTCCCGAAATTTTACACTGTGATGAATGACAGCATGCAAGTAATTTTCTTTTTGTCTGTCATTCCCCTTCTCTCACACACATATGCGATATTATCTACAAAAGAGATCTCAAGACCCTACAAGAAAACTTTAAAGCAAACTGAAATCTCTCCAACACACTTTCCCTTAACAACCTTAACTAACAAAGCCCATGGATCTGTTTTGTATTTTTTGAGATGGAGAGTCTGAGGTTATTATTATTTTAATAAAAAGAAATCAGGATAAGTAATTGAATGGTATTTGAGTATCAGTGATGGGGCAACTGATCATTTTGGAATTTCAAGAGAAATTTGGAATTATTTCAGTCAAGGTGCATCACTGCCAGTTGATAAAAGTACATCTGGAATGTTTGTAAGGGGAAAAGCAGTCAGGGAGTGATTTTAAATTGGGAAATGGTGGGTAGAGAATTGAGTGGAAAATAGCCGTCAGAAAAGGAGAAGTAGGACCCCAACACGTGCTCATGCTCAACAACGCAGTGTCTTGGAAATGCTTTTTATATTAAAAAAAATACTTGGGAGTTCATTACATGTATATGCATGTAACATGTAATTTGCCCAGATGTCCTGTGAACATTAGTGGAATGAGAAATATTTAGCCTCTTTTATACATGTATTAGTGGAATTTTTTTGGGGTTCTTGTTTCAGAGTCATGCTCATTGTTATTCCTTAAGAGTTTCTCTCTAGGTTTATTGTTCACCTGTGAGAGGCTGAACAAACTTCTGAAGATGTGCGGGAGTTGAACGCACATATTTTAAAATAGCGGAAGTTCAAAATGTGTAGGAAATATGATTGATATGTGAACAAAGAATGTTCCAAAGCGGGGGAGAGGAATCAAATTCTCGAACATCCAGGCCCCATCTACCAAATTCAATTGAGCTGTGTGGTTGGGTAAGCACCATCATAAAAGTTATGATAGTTAAGAGCACAGGGATTGGAGGTCTGCCAGAACTGGGGGGGGGGGGGAGAGAGAGATCCTCCAAAACCAAAAAATCAAAAAACAGGAAATATCTGCTAATTTCCTCAATACGTGGAACACTTACACCTGTACAATTAATGCTTCTGGAGCATGGGCTACAAGTGGCAATGACTGCTTGGGAGTATTAATATACTGTGATGCTTATAGGGTGAATGTGTTTGGTCTTGCAAATTGTTTCATCCAGATGTGAGTGAATCCACAGCGCTGAATCCATTTGCTTATTTCTATAGCTGCATCAGTGTTGCATGGTGAGGGTCATCTAAGGTGGGGAAAGGTTCCTGCCCCAAGCAACTAGCAGTCTGTGACTTAACAGTGGAGGAAGGGGATCGAAGGGCAGGGAGGCAGAGGAGAGACAAGCGCAATAAAGGATCAATACAAGCACATGCTGCTAGATGGACCATTTCGGCTGGGTGGTGTATCATTTGGGATTAGATGACTTCCATGCCCCTTCAATATGTGAGTATATTATATATCAGGTCTGGGTAGCCAACATCTTGAAAGGCAGTCCTTATTTTCTGTACCCACTGAAGTCAAAAGCAGACGCGCAAGGTAGGATATGGAGAGGTTGAGCAGAACATCTGAGTGGCAGGTTGGGGAGACCTGGTGTGGTTCAGGAACCAACGGACCTAGAGACTCGAGTTGTCTTTCAACCTCTGTTTATTGTCCTTAAGTGGACATTTGTCTCTCCAATACACCCTTTATAAATCCCAACAGCTTCTGTGGTCCAACAGAGATGGCGTTCGATACCCAAACTCATTTCCTGTTTAGCTGTGAAGTATTTCTTCATGCAATGCAGAATTGAATTTATGGAATTTGCTGCTCCTTCGTGGGCCACTAGCATAGACAACTCTAAAAGGGGATTAGACCAATTCATGGAGGAGAAGTCTCTCAATGGCTTTTTGTCAGAATTACTGTACTTCCTCCAGAATCAGAGAAAACATGCCTCTGAAAACCACTCACTGGAGTCAAGCGGCAGAAAGCTGTTGCCCTCATGCCTTACTTCTGGATTTTCTAGAGGTATTTGGCTGGTTCCTGCGGCAGCCATCCCAGCCAATCTCTACGGACCTTTGCTCTGAGTCAGCAAAGGTTTCCTCATGCTTTTGTTAATGTCCGTATCAATGCGGCAGCTTCAAATATGCATTTATTAGGTTTCTGTACTGCCCTTCCTTGCGATGGAGTCCATCTGAAGAATTATCTGTGTACGAGAAACATCTGTATATGAAAAACATGAAAATCGCATGTAGATCCTAACGGGGGACAATTGCACACATGTCTGGTTCATTTCATGTACCTGGATTTTGGTACATGCAATAATTTGGTACATGCAGGGAGCCACATGTACAACTGCAGTCACCAGATATGCAATTTCCTGGAGACTTGGTTTCAGGGTTTCCATTTAGGTAATCCACAAAATGCTTATAGCTAGTACCCCTTTCTTATTTTACAGGGCCAGGGTGAGGATTAAATAGCATGTAAACGTCTTTTAACTTGTCCTGAAACTTTATGTAGTGTCGTGCACAA